AGAGAAAAGTGTTCAGCTTGCTTTTAAGAGGCTTAATAGCACAAAGTGCAAAGAAGAAAAAACTATGAAACCTACTTTTTGTTCTGCTGTCCACTTCTATTTTTGTTGGCTCCTGAGTTGCTGTGGCTGGAGGTAATTTCTTCCCAACACTCTGAAAAAAAAAATTATTCTCCTTTAAAATTTGCAGGTTCAGTTAAAAGTTGGACAACATAAAAAATTGTAATGGAAATGCAAAGCATAGGAGTAGAAAAAGGACAGTAAAGAAACAGAAGCAAATTAAACTATATTTAGGTTTGTCTGTGGGGTTTTTGTTAGCTTTTTTTTTAAATGATAAAGAATTCATAAAAATGTGATCCTAAAATTTTCCCTTTAAAAAATATTTACTAACATTTTTAAACATTAACCCCTTAACACAGTTTCAGGAACGACTCATAGAAGTTTCATTGGTGGACTGAATATGTGATGAAATTACTTAAGGAAAGGTGCTATTCAGTACCAAAAGTAAAACTGAAAAAAACAGTGGGGGAAAAAACCCTTGACTTCCATCCATACACAGAGTATTCCTTTCAGTCATTCTAGTCTGAGTGTGATTTTTAAGTTGACAATATCTCTTTAAATGGTTCCCATTTTTGTTTATTTTGAGCAAAAATAATTAATTTTACAGAGGAGTACTACAATAAGCAATAATCAGCCTCAGACAGGTAAGCTGAAAGAACAGTAAAAAAACATTACCTGCCCCCAACAAAATAAAATAAAATTGGTGATATTCATCTTTATATATCTTCACCAATTACTATATGCATATTATCCCCTCTCTCACTCAGCTTTTCTCCCTATCAAGAAAGCTGGCTAGCTTTAAAAGCCCAGCCATGTGTAGTTGAGGACATAAGTGTAATTACTACTTGTTTACATAGATATGAGTAGATAAAAGCACAGAATGCCTTCAAGATGAAAGCAAGACTGGGAAGACAGCTTTTGGTTCAGAGGCAAACAGTGCAGTTCAAGATAGCTGCACATCTCAGTGCATGCTCATTCATGATCAAATCTTTATTCACAGTTCTGCTTCATAAAATGTTTTGGAAAATGATGAGAGGACATACTCTAAACTGCACTGCTATTTAACTCAGAAAGGAATGCTTACTAAAGGAATATTAAAAAACCCTTTAATTTAGGTTTTTTTTCTTTTTTTTAAAGACGAAATTGTTATTCAAGAACAACTAATTAAAGGAAAGCATTTGGTAATTGCTTTATCAGACATGAATCATTGATCTTATGCCATGAAACCAAAACACAGATAAACCCACAACAAGCTTAAATTTAACAAGCGAAAAATCACAGCGAAAGAATCATGGGCAAAGAGGAAGAAACTAGTGTATCCCAGTGGGAAGGGCATGCTGCAATGTAATTTCTTAATTTATAGAAGCAGATGCAAGTGCAATACTTGAAAACACTCATTCATCTGCTTGTTCAGAAAGAATGCCTGTGCGGGTGATAAATCAGCATGGGGAACCAACAGACTCCTTAGGAACAGAAAAGAGAATACCATCCAAACAAGGCTGTTCTTTTGTTGGGAGATAGGAGACAGATCGGAAAGTAGTCTTTGCATGAGCTGCAATTTGTTCAGGAGAGAAGATAAAAAGCCCAGGGAGCAAAGTGGCTGAAGACATGACTCTTTTTGCACATATAGAAATAGCCTGAACACAGAAATGAGAAACTGGACTCCTGACAGGTCTACTGATAGATGAAGAGCAGCACAAAACTGGGTGTGCTGAAAGATCACAGTGACCTACAAGATCCAAAGATGATTTATTGTGGAACGAGCAAAGTTGTCCCAGAATTCTGGATGAGGAGAGGAAGGAATGTTTATATCTACTAGGAGGATATAGAAAGTCATAATTCAAATAATGTAAACAAGGGTTGTGCAGAACCCACTCTAGTGAGGAGGGATACCTGAATTTGTTGTGGGACAGGGAGAGGACAAGACAAGTGGAACTGGTATTCTTTAATTGTAAGGGAACCGCACCCAAGGATTTATAGGGGTGACACAAGCACCACTGACAGGAAAAAAGAAAAAAAAAAGGATAAGCCATGAAAATTTGGTTTCAGGTGGACGTGCGCTGCCAAGATGTTTTACTCTTCCTGTAAAATGGTACTAAAGGAGATTTTTTTAAATTATGATTTATTTATGTTTACAATTGGTCTATACTGATCCATGCATTTGCATGGAAAACATTTGTTACCACTTTCTGAAAACATGTCCATGAAACTTAATGTAGTACATATTTGTTCATTAGGAAACATGCAAAATAAACTTTCCTCACTCTAAGAGACACTGAATCCTCTATGATCTGTTAAGTCTGATGGTTCTGCTTTAACAGGATAAAACCTCAGGTATAGTTAAGATCTGTGTACTGGGAGTCCCAGATCAAGTAATATTATCACAGTTACCAATTTTTCTGGCAAGAAAAGAGAAATGGGAGGCAGACACATCTCCCATATGAGCAGAAACTTTCCTTCTGACTCTCCAACTGTTCTACATCACTCATACTCCCATACAGGTTAAATATCTACCAAATTTACTAGTGGCTAGGAGAACCGAGGAAGTCCAACTTAAATTCTTGCTGATCCAACACACATCTCCATGACATTGACTTCTCTTCTCAGGGACTAGTTACTATAGGGTATTTTGGTCTCTTCTCTAGTTGAAGGCCCAGCATAATTTAACAAAATCTCCTTCACTTCTAAAAAAGGAAACACGGGAGCAAAGAAAACACTAATTGGGTTGAACTGAAGATTTCAATATAATTCTTTCTCCTCCTCTGTTCTTCCTTTACATAAGAAGAAGGTCAATTCAGAAAAAAAAATCCCCCAAGCCCTTCTAGACACATTGATCTATGCTGCAAAATACTTATATACAACTCCAGCTTTCACATTACTTAATCTTTTACCTGATTCATTCCCACCTATAAGGCTCAAAATTCCCAAGAAGCAAGCAGATCTTACCTCTTTGTGACACAGGCACAAAACAAGATGTAGAACTTGGAAGGACTTTTTAGGAATTTAGACACTCCAAATCCAAGAGCAGGATCCTCAACCCTGCCAGCATCCCCTGACATGTCCCAACATGAACTCTCTCTCTCCATTTACCTGACTCTATCATTTTGTCAATAATGTCTGCAGTAAAAAGTCACATGCATCACGGACCAGAATGCCATTATGGCGCCTTCCCAGCTGTGTCGTCATCGCCAGGCTGCAAAGACAAGTGAAGTTCTGCATTTTCTCTCTGGCCCTGTATATCTTGAATACTTGGCTGCAGAATGGCTTCAGCACCAGCAAAAAGGGTAGCATATTCCCCTCTGCCTTTGTATCTCTAGCCTGGTGGTTCAGAGACACTCCTGAAGAGCACCGTTTCAGTTTCCCTCTATCCTCCTCCAGTATGTTGATTACCATAAGTCTAATTTCTAGGTGGTGGCAGTCAGCCTTGTTCCACTTACATTACTCTGCAGATATCACTCTGACTTGCTTAGTCCTGTGACACAAGAAACACATGGTGGAAACAGAGTTCATATTTCTTAACTACAAGCCTAGGGTGACTCCCAACATACAACAGAGCATATCAACAAAACAGGCAGAATCTTGATCCCACTATTTCTGCAAGGCGAATATAATTAGATTATTTAGCTGTCAGACACAAATCCCCCTAATCGCCTGACGCGTGAATCGTAAAGATGAAAGGGGATGAAGTGCCCTCTTGCTGCAGAAACAGCTGATAAAAGCATGAATAATAACCATGATTTGGTGTACAGATATTCAGAGGGATGAGACAGATTCAGCAGCAACCTGCCACTCAATGCTTGGTTTTATGAAGCCAACGGAAGGACAGTTTAGCATTAAATAACAGGTTCTGTTAGCAGAAGAGGCCTTGATGGCAGTTCGGTACACTGCAAATCCCTGTCACTGCAAACTGGTTCCCTCTGATACTGAATTAACAGTGATTACAGAAGTGGTTGAGGTGGCACACAAAGTCGCGTGCATGAGGTCACGGTACAATCTAAACAGTCTCATTTCCTTTCATTTATGTATTTTGGCTCAACTGCAATCCCTGCAACAGCAGAGAACAACACAAGAGAAGCAGAGCACGTAATGGGCAGTATACAAGTGAGTTTTTCTCACTTGAGGGCACTACGGCCCTTCCCTACAACTATTCAACCCTGACCAGAGCAAGAAAAGTAGACCTGTGATCAAGTTTTCTCCTTCAGGATATTTTAAAATCGTATTTCAGGGTTTTCTGTTGTTGTTGAAAACTGACTTATTTACTTTTGTTATTCAGGTCTTGGGTCTCCAGAACATTTAATCTGAAAATTCAAATTGAATTGTCACTTGTGCATCAGCTAGGTCCATACAGAAGATTTTGTTATACTTCTTTGCACTAAAGGAACATACTTATCCTTTGACTCTCCTTTAATAAATATAGGCTTCTCCAAGCAACAGCTTATTTACTCGGGAATAAGGAAAAAAAGATTTACTTAGCATCAGTATTTATTCTGGAAAGTGTACTGAGGTCTTTACCCTAGATAAAATATTTTGGAACTGCTACTTGAAATGTAACTCCATGAAGATATTCTTAAGGAATACATCAGACATTAAAGAATTCATAAAAATGGGCTGTATGAGCTGGAAACACTAACGTTTTTAAGTTTAACAGCATTTGTCAGTTTGAATAGTGAAAATGTAACAATATGCACTGATGTTTTATACAGAGGAGGAAAAGACAGTTATGTATCTTGAGAACTTTCAGAATTTCGGAAGACCTCAGCGATTAGGTCAGGGGAAAAAACGTGCCGCGTTTCTTTGACCACAATACTTCCTTTTAACATTCAACTACTATTTTTGAATGTTGTTTACATGCATGAGAATTTTTTTATCTATAGGTTTACGTGCAAATCCAAGGCTACTATTGGTGACAACATAAAAGCTGTATTCTTTAATGTATTTTTGACAGTCCATTTTGTAATGAGAACATTTTTTTCACAAAGAAGCAGAAATGGTCGCTAGATTCTTCCAGCTCTGGATGAACAGAAGCATAAACAAGCTTCTCACTGACTATGTACAATGCTGGTGTTGTGAAGGGGGAGCCAAATTAATTTCTTG